TAGTTTTCGCAAATGTTGAGCAATTTTTAAAGGTGAACATCTTCAATTATTCGAATGAGCAAAAGTAAATGATTCTATGATGCCAAAAAGATAAGAAACTGACCTCTTTGGATAGCCGTGTGAATAGGTCGCCACCTCGTAGAAAGTCCAATATCAAGTACAATTTACCCTCGGTTTGAAAGGCTGAAAAGAAAATATTATACTATGAAAAAAATAACACAGCAATGGCATAAAAGGATTTTTTCCCTACTTTTACTCCAACCACTTCCATTTCCGAACATCATATTTCAAACTTAGACAGCGTAAACTGGTCCCTGGAGAGTTTTCACGCATCACAGGTCGCTTGAGCTCTTTATGTCCCCCAGGATTAAGACTTAAGGAGAGCACAAAAACCGATATATTTCAGGATGGTGGAAACTCAAATTGCTTTCAAGGTTTTTTTAAGATACTTTGCCTACACCTAAGTCGTTGTACCAACATACCCACATCTATGCAAAAAAAAGTCTTTTCTGTTCCATTATGCAGGAAAATGATCAATAATTCCTTCCCGTCATATTATGTGCAGAATGGCGTGCAATTTGTATTATTAGTCTTGTAATATATAAGTAGTTGATGTGGTGCATCATTAACGAATGGATCGATGATGACGTGTGATGGCGGCGAATGCAGCTTTTACATTTTTGCGCATCTATGACGTCAACAGCAAAGCGACTATTTGGAGATAAACTTAATTAAAAGCTTTGAAATAATAGCTTAGAATCTACAATCTATAAAGTAAAACGAATTTGCGAGTCAAAGTATGCTCTGAAGATAAGCTTATATGACAATTTGCAAACTTTAATTGTCTTAAAAGTCTTAATTTAGGTAAATAAAGTGGTTTATTCAATCAAAAATAATTGAATTCACATTTTAGGCACATAAATGTACTATAGTTTCGATTATACAGAGTAAATCTTTTTTAAAAATTATATTTCTCTAATTCTCCTTTTTTTATGCTAATGAGCATTATTTCTCTAAGCAAAGTTTTAAGCTGCTCTTCTAATTTTTAAATACTACTTTTTTTCATTTTCCTAAGTCAAAAGAGAAAATTTGCATTTAAGGATCAACGCGTAGTTCTGATTTAAGACGCATTCGAAATGGAAGAAATCTATCTATCAGATATAAACTTGCATCAATTTGTGAGAGTTCTCACAAATGCATTAAAACTTGTTCAAGGGCATTTACTTGCCTATTTAATTTTGATAAAGAATTGTTTAACTCGTCAGCTTCTGACTATTAAGTTAGAAACACATACATTTCAGCTCAGAAAAGCTCGATCCAAGAACCATAAGAATCTACAAATTTTTAGTGTTTAAACGGTGAATTTGGGTATGTTGCTAGCTTACCAAGAGTTTTAGGGGTAAAAAGATTGTTAGACTCTGTCTTGCTATGGCTCTTGAATCATCTCTTAGGCAAAAAATTGATACTGCGAGGTGATTGCTGATTGGCAAGGAATTTTACTATGTGGTGAAGAAGCCAAGGTTTTGTAGTCATTCTCATTCTTTTCGCAAAATGATGGAAATATGATTTTGCAGTCATGCAAACAAACATTGAAGAGTGGTTCTA